AATATATTTTTAATAATATATATTTTTAATATCTTTTTCAATAATATATTTTTAATAATATTTTTTTAAAAGTAATATATTTTTAATATATTAAAAATAATATATTTTTAATAATATATAACAATAAAATAATATATTTTTAAATTATATATAAATACTTTTTTTAGTTTTATTTTTATATAAGTATTTAATATATCTAATTAAAAAATAAATAAAAGTAAGTTTTTAATTTTTTATTTGAATTTTTTTTAAAAATAATTTTATTTAATATATTTTAATCATGATTTATATTATATATTATATATTTATTTTTATTATTATTTGTTAATTTTATTTTTAAAAAATTGATTCCTACACCCCTAGGAGAAAATCTTTCATTTAATATGGGAATGGTTAATCTCATGGAAATGAGTTTTGCAATTACCATTAAAATGGTTATTCTTTCTCAAAATATATACCAAAAAAATATACCAATCATGAGAATAGGAATGAATGAAGAAGGAATAATCATTCTATTCTCATGTCATTCTTTCGTACCTATTGGAATTAAATAAAAATATGTCATTTTAACAGGTGTTACAGGAAAGTAACTAGAATGAAAATTTTAAATTTTTGTTTTATAATTTCCGTTTACTAGGGATTGGTTTACATACTTGGACATCACCTCCGGCGAGCCCCGCCGCTGGCCCGTCCTCGCAGAACGGCGAGCCCCTCCCCGACCACGCCCTCAAAACGCCGTCGTAATTCAGTTTCAGGTGAAGCTCGCCACCCGCTCGGCCAAATTCCTCTCCACCCGAACCCTTACTGCCAGATTTAACCTCATTTCGCTTGCCCGATCCCGAATTCTTCCTCCTCGCCGACGCCTTCTTCCCCACCGGAACCTCAGCAACCTTCGGAGTCAAATCGGCTAGATCCACGGCGGGGAAACTCCACCACTCGTTCCCTCCGTCGCCGCCCGCATTCCTCATCGCCCTCGATTGGAAATCGAACCCTAATCCCACCGGATAGCCGTAGCAACAACCCGATTTCGATTTCGGATCCTCGATTTTCAGGCTTTCCATGCTCAATTTCCCCATGACGCCATCAATTCCCTCATCAATTTCCTCATCCAAAATCGACCGCGCGCTGAAACTCTCCTCATCTCCGCCGCACAATTCTTCAGAGGAACAGCCCAAAACCGCCGTCCGCCGCCGCGGATCCTCGATTGCATTCCAATTTCTCGACCCAGTGCGAAAATTGGGGCTCTCGAGCGATTTGGGAGGCGGCGTGAGCAGGGCCGAGGGCTCGAACAGATACGGGCCCTGCAATTTGGTGAATTCGGGCCCTGTTGGGAGGTGTTTGGCCGCGAAAAGCTTGGGATAGGCGGTGGAAAGGATTGAGGCGGCTTCGTTGTAGGCCTGATTGGGCCTTTTACGGCGGGCCCGGGCTTTTCGAGTTGAGATTGAAGTGTGGTTTGAGTCAGAAAGAGCTGATGATAATGATGAAGATGATGAAGATGGTGATGAAATTGAGGTCCATGAAGATGTGTGAGGTTTTATGAGGCTGAGGTTTAAGCTGCAGGCAGAGGACATTTGGAGAAAAAGGTAAGTTCAATTTTTTTTCCTCTCTTTCTTTTTCTTGTTCTTCTTTCAGGATTATTGAAAATTGAAGTAATGAGTGTAAAAAGCCCTGGTTTTTTGCTTGAAATTAGAAATGAGATGATTAACAGGGCTATGGGGTTTTTAGTTTTTGGAGAGTTTGGAAAAATATGGGAAAAAGGGGCGAGGAGAGTAGCGGAACCCTAAACCCTGAAAAAGGTTTATTTTTTGTACTCGTGTGTTGTGATTTTTCACAATAATTTAGGAGTTAAATAATTTAAAATGATGATAATGATGAAGAAACCTGAAAACCCTGAATAGATATTTTGTACTACGTGTTGTGTGTGGTGAATTTTACGGCTAGAAGTTAGGAGTTGAAAATAATTTGATAATAAATAATTGGAAGGGACAAATGTGTGTTAGTAGGACAAAGGCCCTACCCAACCCTTGAAATTTTGACCACAAAAGGTAAATAAATTACATTTAAAGAGAATTAAAAAAATTAATATCATTGACAAAGTATACTTCAAACAAAAGAATCCCCCAAAGATGTTTTCTTTTTCTTGTTTTTTGGTCAAATAGAAAAATGGAATTGGAATATGTTTGCTAATCACTATAAGTTAAGTTTTGTACTTTATAAAATTTTCCTATTTAATTAAGTTTTATTTTGTAAGATGATATTTTTTTTAAAACAAATTGAACTTATCTCACAAGTTTGTATGGTTGCTTTTCAAAAAAAAAAATTATTCAATTTTCAATCCACTTTACTTATCACTTAATCTTACAGAAAAAGCTATCAATTATAACTTCAAAATTCAATTAAAATCTATGAGATAGATTTTCGGTCAGATTTACCAAACAGTAGCAAATATAGATAAAAGTACACCATAAGATCAAAATTGCTTATACAACATAAAGAAGTAGCTTATCATATGTCAGACTTGTCATTTAAATTTACCAAATATACCCTTCTGAAGTTGTGATTTAAGAAAACAA